AAAAAATCCTCAAGTGTAAGAAAAAATTTGTCTGCTACATGTATGCTACATTCTTTACACAATGCATTGTGTTGCATTTTGTAGGCACAAATTAGTTAAAATTTTGTTGCTGAATCGTCACACCTTTATGCCGACATGGATGCTGGTAGTTTGTCCATATACAGTCTGCAGTGCTTCAGAAATGAACTTTTCCTAATCCGGTGTCAAGTCATATCACTGGAAACCCTGTGTGCACACTAACTTTTCAGTAGTCATGTTCTTCCATCTCACCGTTGCCCTTCTTCTTCTTCTGGTCCTCATATCTCCAGTCACGGCCTTCATCGGTTCTTCTCCTGTCGTGGCATAGCGCTGGCAGTGGAGACGTTTTGGAGGCGAGGCCACCGGGAGATCACGGTGTTCGTCCCTCAGTGGCGTCAGAAGAGAGACCGACTCACAACAGGTACACATGCTTAAACTGTATACAGGGTTGTCCTTAAATATCAGCATATCTTTCATTGTTTTGGTCCGTTATAAAATAAATCCCCTGGCTGGTGCTCAGTCTACTATTGTGTCCTGTGTAAATTCAAAACACTGACGGTAACCCTCTGAACCACAAAACCACCTGGCGGGTTTCGGAAGAAGGGTTACATCATTCTTTTTTAAAACACCCATATTACACCATTTATCAGAAACGGTGAAAGTAGAATTTTTCTTCAGAACCTTTCTGACGGTTGTTCAGCTACTCCTCTGTGCTGTGCCATTCAGTGGAAGAACTTGACCCAATCTAAGCTTAAAATAAGTATATTTCACCAAAATCACTTTATTCTACATGTTTTATTTACAAACAAAATCATTTTAAAAAACAGTTTGCTCTATTAGAAACTAAAAATTCTGTGTTTCAACAACTTTAGCTGAACTGCAGGCTACGAGACGAGTATGGGAATAAAATCTAAAATGGGAATGATAAAATATGCAAAGTGTGTAGAGTCAGAGTGTTTTTTTTTTTCCAGTGTTGAAAACACTTGAGGGAAAAACATTGTTGAAATTGATTCCATCTTTTTTTTTTCTTTTGTTATGATTCATGGTAATATAACTGTGGTATTACTGCACAGAAGACATTTCTGAGTTCTCTCTACGTCTTCATGGTTGTTCTGTTTCCGTAGAGGAGCAGGATTTTATATTGCTGTGAAAAATGAGCTGACAGTGAGGGAAAATGTGACGGCAGAATAAAACGCCCAGAAAGTGTAGGGAGTTCAGAGGGTTGATAAACTGTCATTTAACATTTATTAACAATACATTTTAGATTTATTTGAATCAACTTTTTGAACTAATTCATATGCAGTGTTGTGGACATGAGAGAGGTTGTTGGAGGATGAGGAGGCACGCCGGAGGCTCGGGTGGTTCATGTTGTAATAAGGTTTACCGGTATCCGGAGAAGTGAAACCAACAGAGCAGCAGTTCATGCAGACAGTGCCAGCATCAATTCTGAGGATCCTCTCTTACCGTTTGGTATATGTTGTCCTCTGGGTGAGGGGGCAGATGTAGACTACGGACCAATATGGAGACAGCTGATCTGCTCAGTGTTGTTAGAAACAGACAAAGTCTCACCTTGACTAGAGCAGAGAGTCCAAGCTTATCTTCCTCCTGCTACGGTCGGAAAGCAATATTAAGGCAAGATGAGCCTTACAATGGAGACAGGGCTCAGAGCTGTAGAGGTTACAGGGGAGCAGAAACCAAAGGTGGTGACCTGCTCTCACCTGTAGGATCATTTGGGATGACGTCCGCTAACAGCTGAGAGGAGACACCTTGTTAGGGAAAAGGGTCATTTTTCCTTCACATACATGAATGACTTTTGAAGGACCACTATCATGTTAAAGGTTGTTGATCATGGTTGGAGATTTTGAGTTCTTTCTGTGTAATTTTAATTTAACTTTGTGATATAAATGCAATCGATGGGGGGAAAAAAACCATAAATCATGTGATTATTGCACTCAAAAACAAACTTTTTGGTTTTACATTTATAGCAGATATATTTGGTCGTTGTGGTGTTTTAGTGTCAAGACAATAAATTTATTTATTTTGGATGGTAATTCGTGTTGAAACCTGGTGACTGTAACTCAGAAAACACAAAATCCCAGACCCACAGTCAGTGTTGTGTCTATAGATGTCATTGTTATAATAGGTCACAGAGGCAGCAGTTAACACTCCAGAGTATTTCGTCAGTAACAGCAGCACTACGTCAGCTGCTTCTGTTCTCACCTTACAGGTCATAGTGTTCCCTCAAGAGATGTAAACAAACCTGTTTTGTCTACATGTGTATTCTCCTCCCTTTCCCTTTATTACCATGTCGTACTGACGCGCCTGTTGTTGTTGTTATCTGGTTGCAGAACAACATTTTCTAAACCAGCTAGAAGACCTGAGGCTGCTCTCCTTCACTCCCTCCAGAGAAGTGTGTGGCCAGAGGATATCGTCACATGACGACAGGTAAACAAAGCCAGAAAACCTGTTGTGAAGACTTGACACGTTGTATTGAAGATACAAGACTGGCAGGTGTAGACAGAGCTAGGGATTGAACTGCTGTTATTTTGGAACATGTCTGTTCTGTTATGAGTTCATCTCCTGAACAAACATCTAACATTGTGTCACATTCACTCACCTCATCCAGCTACTCTTTATAATCAATAAGCTCATTGACTATGCAGCTGATTAAAATAGGTGATATATTAACTTACTGTGTTGTGAGTTTTGGGGAAATGTTTAGACTACATGATGAGTTTTAGAATCCAGATCTCTAAGCAACTGCAGGATATCAGGCCTCACTTTAAAACTCACCCTGACTCAGCACTTACAAGTGTTTCCCTGCCGACGGATTCCCCTCTGTGGGCCGAGCTGGAAGCAAGCTCTTGACCTTGGTCCTCCGGGAAAATCCTGAGCGCCTAATCCAACACACGCCTTTGTTTCCGCCAGGTTCCTGCTCCACCTCGCCGAGAAAACAGACGGCATCATTGTGACCAACGACAACCTGAGGGACTTTGTCGACACCTCGGACACCTGGCGCAGGATCATTCTCGAGAGGTGATTGTGTGTAACGCAGCCGAGTCAGTCGCCGGGTTTGTACGTTCCGTTACCCAACATGACTCTGGAAAGTCCACAGACGCAGCTGACGAGCTCGATGACAAATGCTACAGATTTATGGTCTATTTACAGCCAGTTTATTTACATTTAGCAGCCATCTCAAGTTGCCTGAAGGGAAGAAGAACACGAGAGTAGACAAACATGTTTACACAACATTAACACGTACTTGTTTAACTTGTATAAAATTAGAATCCTGGGAAACTTTTTTTTTTTAAACTACACAGTGCCAAACATTTTTAAAAGCATAAACAAATAATATAATATCACTGCTTTAGGAAATGTACTATCACCAAGACAGTTACAGCAACTCATGACCTGATTTGACTAAAAATGCTTTTACTTCTTCTGATAAATTATAATATAAAGATTTAACACCATATCATGATTTTGCACACTTGTTCTGAGACCTGATTTTACAGGTATTTTATTTACAATAGAACTAATAGCAAAAATGTTAATTAAAAAAATATATACGCATTTTCTAAATATCAAAAAAATTTAAATAAAATACTTAGTATTCAGTGTTCATGAAGAATGTTTAGATTGTTGTCTTTCAGAGTTTTCCTAATTAAAAGTAGGACTATAGTAGCATTATACACAACTATGTCCTCTCAGTATAAATACAGAGGAAAGGGAGACTGAGGATAGTTATTCGTGGGATTTTGTCGCCCTCTGTTGGTCGTCGTGCGTCTCAAACGTCTCACAAAGACCCATGAACCCCATTTATACAGGAAACTAGTGTGTTGCGCTCTACTGGTTCCCCCTGAATGGGTGACTGGTTTGACGCTATATATTGCTGCTGTCACAGGTTAATTTTTGGTCGTGACTGTTTACGGCAGCTGTGTTCGAGTTTCTTTACCTCACTGTTTTGTCACACCTGATAGGTTTGGCTCACGAGAAGGAACAGAAATTCTCAATTTAGAGGTTTCGTGACGTTGATCTGACGCTTTTTAGTTCTTCGGAAATATTTGTTTAATTTATTTCTAGGCTGCTGTATTTGCTGAATTTAACTCCAACCTTTAGTTTTCAGCTGCACTGGAAAAAATCCTGGTTTTGTATTTCTAACTATTAAAAAATGAAACGTGATAGAAAATGTCACTGACTATGCAATTCATATTTCTACCTGTTTGTTTAATAAGGCTCATTTTCTAATCGTTATTTACTGAACTTATACTTAATTGTCTTTTTCCCTTATGATTAAATATTAGTTGAGCAGCCCTCTGTTGGAAAACCCTTGTAATCTACAGCTACCAGCTCATTTGCACAACGTTATGAGGGAATTTTTCCAGGAAATTAGCTAGAAATACAGAACCAAAATAAAACATTAACGAAAGTTTGCTTACTGTGAACTGGCCTGGAGCTCCTGTTTTTGGCTTTGTTCCTCCACATATTGATTCTTGAATGAATGAATGAATGAATAAATGAATGAATGAATGAAGGGCACAAATGTCCACGTGGCCTTGAGGACAAACTGTTAGATTACGGTGGCCAGAAGTAACTGTGACCTCACAAAACATGTTTTTGGCCATAACTCAGGCGTTCAAACGCTAAAATAAAACGATCACGTGATGACTTTTTATATCCAAAACATTAAATCTGGTCAGACATGGATGTAAACTGTGACTTGGCTGGTTGGCAGTGACGTAAAACCATGAGGCAGTAGTTCTTGTTGTGCTTTTAGAATCCCAAACGCTTGTTTAAAGCTGGAAAGCTTTCTGTGTGAGTCGTTTTATTTATTGTTCAAAATTGCACTTGCAAAATGTAGTTATGTGTAGAATTCATTTGCGATACCAATTTATAATTCCTCACCAATAAGAGCAGGCTTTCTATGTTCACAGCTTTAATACAAAGTGATCAAATTAGCACTAAAACTACACACTGCATACTACACGATGCTTTTAGAACAGATGATGAAGATTTTTAAGGAACTTTTTATTTATTTTATAGCACTCTGGAAGTGTATAGATTCCTTTATGTGTGTGTATTATGCAAGTCTATGTTCCATTTATGTATTATGTTATTGAGGGTAAAGATGTTAAAGTGAGAAATGGTTTTCTGAAATTGGAACTGATGGGGTTTAGTTGGTACAATATGCAGGCTGGGAGTAAGCTCACATTTTCAGGTAAAACAAACATGTTAAAAGGCTACCAGCTGCTAATAAAGGATCTTTTAAGCAGTGAAATGCGCAATTATTGCTCTTACTCGATCAGTTTTTGTAGAAAACCTGCAAGAAATACTGCAGAAAGTTGTTAAATGTGTGTTAACCCTTGATATGACCACTTTACAGGGCTGCAGGAAGGTTGCGCTAATCTGTTCCCAGAATGATGCTGAGAAATCACAATTAGTAATCATCTTTTTTTATTATTATTATTATTTTAAAAAGTTTATGAATTTGTCCCATTCCTTTTCTTGACTGGCAGGTTGCTTCAGTTTACTTTTGTAGAGGACCACTTCATGATCCCTGATGACCCTTTGGGGAAAGATGGACCTCACCTTGACTTCTTCCTGCGTAAAGAAAACAGGTACATGCATAAATTTGTAGTCCAAAGAAAATCCATGACTGCTAACCTTTTTATGACCAAACTAACGTGACAACACTTGTCTCTAAACCTCTGATGCCTGTGAATATGGAAGCACTGTTGAGTAGGAATCAGCTGATGTGTTTTATTTCCTGGGGCTGATGCTGAAAACCTATATTTGGTATGTATTTCTCAGCTGACTCCGAACTTAGCTGCTAGCATAGCCTTAGCCACTGTGAAAGTAGCTAACGTCCTAATGTGTGGCGATAACTGCGCTTCTTGTTCCGTTTTTTGCAGGTTGTGAGGACCAGACTGGTGAATTAATCAAACTTTACACAGATTTTCTGGCACTCCAGATAGCATTAGCCTGAGACTAAGAGACACAGCAAAACTCTTACTGGTAGCTTTAGCCTAGCAGTGTTTGCAAAATAAATTCTGGTTGAACTGACACCAACAAGTTACTGATTTGGGCATTTTCAGTGTAGATTGCTGTGTTTATCACAACTTCAGCAACGTCTGCTACCTCACCTTTCAGACACAGCTCTGCTAATTCACCTGAACTGCACCGCTCTGCAGATGTGCTCATCTGTCTCTCTGTGTAAACAATAGCTTTCAGTGTTGATTGGCTGCTACTGGCGACGTGCTACTAATCAGAAAGAGCTGTTTGTGGGACTAGCTTGATGCCACAGAGTGACTACAGGCAGAGAGTCGGCTGGGTTAGGGCCAAAGTCGCGCATTTTAAAAGACATTTATCAGGAATAAATATCAAAATGTCATAAAAATAAGCAATAATTGCAGGATATCAACCCCGATACTCAGTCGATTGCTATTCCTGAGACGTGTGTTGCAGTAAATTAAGCAGCCTGTTGCTTCGTTACAGCCTTTCATACCCTCTCCCTCCGTTTCCTCCCATCAGGAGGGCTCCACCCACTCCTCCCCCTCTGAGACCCCCAGACTTCCGGCCTTCCTCCCAGCAGCAGCAGCCAGTTTACGTCCAGGCCCTTCACTCGGCTCCTCGGACCCCCACCTCCCTGATGCCCCACCCCACCACCCACTGGCCCCACTCCGGCCCCCCAGAGTGGCACCCGCCCCGCCGCTCCCCCTCGCCGTCGCCCTCGCCCCCGCCCCAGCGGTCGCCGGGGGAGACGTCGGAGCTGAAGAGGAAGCTGTACGACATCTTCCCCGACCAGAAGCAGCGGATCGACCGCATCCTCAGCGACAACCCGTATATGAGAGACCTGAACGCCCTGTCTGGGCTGCTGCTGGGATAAACAAAGAACTCGCTCACTTATGAGAGTCACACACAATACGTACACACACATGCAAGAATATACATATGTGTCAGCATAAAGATAATTTATTTTGCCATCTTTTCCAACTCGGAGGACGTGGATTTTTTTTTTTTCATTATTGTTATTTCACATAAAGACTGATCGTCAAACTAGCTGCTATTGGCAAAAAAAGTATTTTTGAGGATGTTTTAAGTTTTTTCCCTCTTCATTTGCTTTAAAATTGATCAACACTGGTGTCTACAGAGCCAAAGTGTTCACAAATTGCCATATTTGTCAAGCAGCAAAGTCTGTATTGTTCACATGGTAATAAATCATTACAGTTCCCTGACAAGAGTCCAGAGTTTCCATGAATGTGGGACCAGCGCTTTGGGATGAGCAAAAATGTTTCGGACCAAGAACAGTGAGCTGCTCCCGCGGGACGGCGGCTCCACCTTTTAGCACACGATGGGTTTTCTTCTCCTAAACTTTGTTCACCGTCAGACTTTTTCAGCACCTCTCACAGACTCGGAGCTTTTTTCTCGTTCAAAAGTCGAGCTTTTTCGTTGATAGAGGACACCGACACCGGCAGGTTTTTGCATGTTTTTCAATTTTCAGCATACTACTTATACACTTGTTATGTTCTGGAACCGGATGAATTCAGCATCAGGGAGGTTGTTTTTGAACTCAAGTCAACAAGGTTTGAGCAGGTTTGGAGTCGTTCAACTTTTAACAGGGGAAAGCTGAGTTTAAATGTACAATATTTAAACTTAATTTCCATCTCGATGTACTTGTTGGAGGTCATCAAAGCGGTGTCTTTTTTTTTTTTTTTTTATTTCAGGATGCAGGATGAGATCTGTAGCTTTAGCAACACTGAACAAAAATCCCTAAAAAAAAAAAAATAGCAACTTTAATTTTAAAATTTTAAATTGTTTTGCAGCAGAAGCACCTTTTGAGCATGTTTGAGGCTGTACAAATGGGCAGTAATTTAAACCTTTATGCTTGTTTCTAATATTATTTAACATTCAGCGTACTGTGTGTATATATCCAGGCTGAATTCATGTTGCTTTTTAATTAATTTTCCTAATTAAAGCAGCACTGCCCATCTCTATCCCCTCGAAAATGCTGCAGGTATTTCCTGGTGATTCACTCGTGTGCTTCTTCTAATCTGCCCAGCACATTTTAGAAACCTCCCAATACTTTACATTGGTTCAGAATGCATTTTCATCTGCAAGAAATGTCTTTTGCACAAACTACCTACACATTCAGAGCAAATGTGAGTATCATCACAAAGCCAAACCGCCCCTACACTCCCATTTTGTTACCTTCATGTCGGTCTGTGTTGCTTCTCAAACCTGTTATTTATACACAATCTTTGACAAAAGGCTGCCTGAATTTGCTGCTCTGATTATCTCGACGTGAACATCAACAAGAATCGGACGTTCGGTTACAGTTTAAGTCGTTCCAGGAAGTTAGAGTCACTCGTTCTGGGATGTGAGTTTTTAAGCTTCGGTCTGCAGGCGACACACATCAGTCCATCTTGGTCTGGGACGGAAACAAACACTACAAGAGTTTCTCCTTCGTAGATCGAGTTCACGCACCAGAAGTTTGGAAAAAAAAAAAAATGTGCAAAGACTTTCTTAATAAGTTGTAATTAGTGTTTCATAGCTAAATTAAATGAGTGAAGGTGTCGTGAGTAGGACGAGGTTTTGCTGATGACGGCCTGTAGTGGTTTGGTTTTTTTACCCTCACACACCCGCTTCAGATTTACTGTGCATCCCAGTTTTTGTAAAATACTTCATGATCCTTGTAAGAAAAAGAATCTCTGCACAAAAACTTTACAAGGTGTCAAAGAAAATCCGTTTTGTTCGTATACTTGCTATGTTGTCGTCGTAAGGAATTACTGAAGGACTTTTTTTTTTTTTCTCCCTTGTATTATAATTCTTTTGTGTATATTGATTTCTCTCTTTTTTTTTTTTGTAAATATAAGCATTTTTGGCTACAGTGCACATATGGTTTTATGTATGTGAAAGAACAATAAATGCAGCATTCCCCATATTTTTTTAATATTATTATTATTTCTGTTTTTGCATGGCTTTGTAGCGCTAACCTGTTGGTCCTCCTGTTCTGTCGTGTGCAGCAATCAGGCGTGAAAATCAAGACAAACTTTAATCTTTTTCACCAAAACTTAAAGCCCCCTTCTGGTGAAAATCATGTTTTTTATCTTGATTTTCAAAACTGTAGTTTATCGATGACGGCCCCAAAAACACGGATTCTGCGATTTTATACGTAACAAATGTGAAAAAACTATTCTGTCAACTTGCAGAGTGACGCTTTCCGTATCGTTTTTTAATCTTTAGAATTGCTTTGAACATGTATAAGTAAACTACAACTGGCCTGTAGACTAGTTTTATAGTGGTTAGGCATATAGGGGAGCTGGTGTGCTCGACTGCAGCGTTTTGGTGCAGAAAGTGGTGTGGACTTTGGAGATCTGTATATTCTAGCTATAGAGTTACATTTAAGCTGTTTCAATGCAGAAAGAGATTATTTTTGATGGCATAAAGACGTGTAAATATTTAATTTTGATGCACAGCGAGAGGGACGATGCATCTACATGTTTACTGTCGATAATGGTGCTTGAAAGTTAGCAAACTCTCCAGAAGTTTTCATATTTCTGCAAAAATATAACATGAAACATTGGCAAGTCCTAGAAGTAGATCAAGAGAATCCAATTTTTTAAAAATCTGACAAAAATACTGGACTTTCATTTATTTATGGAGGTAAAAAACCTCATTTTGCATGTGTGAACCTGTAGGATAAGGACCGAAATTGAAGGAGAAGCTGGATGCTTTCCATCAGTGTGATGACAATCAGGAGTGTTTTATTAAAAGAACCTGAATTTATCAAAGTCTGATCTTCACGATGTGTGTTTGTGGAAGTATGTGATGGCACAAGTCAAGGAGGTTTCAGAGAAGCTCAGAAAAAGAGTTGTTGATGCTCATCAGGCTGGAAAATGTTACAAAAGTCTCTGAAGAGTTTGGACGTCATCGCTGCACAGTCAGACCAACTGGATGCTAAAGGACGAACCTCAAGATCCTTTTTAAGCCCTCGGGGGTGGTCGCCCAACGAAGATTAGTCCAGTCAGAATTGTGTAATAGTCCACAAGGTCACAAAGCCTGAGTGACTTGTAGGCGGCTAAAGGCTTCTCTCACTCTGGCTGATGTGAATGTTGATGAGTCCAGCAGCAGGAGGACGCTGAACAACAGAGGTGAGCAGAGAGGAAGCTCTCCAAGAAGAACACTGCAGTCGACAAAGAGAGTGCTGGAAAATGTTTGGTGGACTGACGACACGGACAAAGAATGGAGCAGCCATGTCTGAACAGAGGAGGGGGTCTGCTGCACCACCCATCCAGCACCTATGACTGATTAGGCCTCGCCCAGTAAGTTTCACCATCATCCATCCATCCATCATCTATACACCACTTAATCCTCACTAGGGTCATCGGGGGGCTGGAGCCTATCCCAGCTGACTAAAGACGGAGGCAGGACACACCCTGGACAAGTCGGGCATCCTGAGTCACCGGTGGTATTGTCCCATTCCTGTCCTTTGTCGTGTAAACTGGCAGCTCCACCTCCATGATGGCTGCCGTTGGTACTGGACCACCTGGTTTCGCAACAGTTCATACCATGAGGCGGGCGGGCCCTGGGTCATTAATGGGCCGTTATCCATGTGGCTCCAGCATCAGTCAGTCAGACCTGAAGCAGCCTCTTGGATGAGAGGTGGAACATCTTCAAGAAGTTGATTTCTACTGGAGCTCCTACGATTACATGACCTGGATGACTGAGCGTCTACGCAGACATAAAGGACAGAGTTCATGCTGTAGAACATCTAAGTCAAAGTTCTGACCTTAATCCAGTGGAGATGCTGTGCAGCGAGCCGTTCATGTGAGGAAACCCACCACCACCCCGAAGATAAACCTGATCCACCCGGAGGAACCGACGAGATCTCCTCCAGACTGACGGTTGCAGGAAAAGCTGCAACACCAGATCCTGAAAGCAAAGGTTCACGCTCCTCCACCACTCACAGGTAGGTCCTATCAGTCGTTTTCCTTTATCAACAAGTGTAACATGTTTGTGTGCTTCATTTAACTGGATGATCTTTATATACTTTCGGGACTTTGTAATGTTTTAGATCACAGTTATGCAGAAATAAGTGTTCAGTAGCGTTCAAGCACCACTTTAAATAACTTGCTCAACATCAATCGTCTCTCCACAACAGCAGACTTCACCTTTTTCTATTAGATTCAATATGTTGTTGTGTTTATGCACCACATGCACCAGTAAAGCAGCAACGTGACACGACGTATTCAGAGATGCTGCTCCATCTGCTCTCATATACTTATTATATAAACATTCATTCTGTTTGGCAGTGAAGCGAATAAGCGTGTTCCCTCAAAATGTGGAACTACTCCTTTAAATTTCAAAACTATAAAACAACACATAGGAGTCACTCCATCTCTGATCATAACACTGTTAGAACTATTCATGCTTGTCCTGCCTCACGCTTTTATAGATTAAAATAAGAATATGTGTAAAGACAATTGTGAAATTCTAGTTTTAAATATCACATACATTCCTAAAAAAATGTTTATTTTTTAATTACTTGTCAACTCGCACAGTTTTTAGGCTGTTTGAACGACAATATCTCAGATTTTTAAAGACAAAAACCTAAAAAATCTTCAGTTTTTTCCGAATATATCAAAGAAAATATAGATTTTTAAATACAGATGTAGTTTTTTATTTTCTAACTCCCCTTGTAGGCCCAGATGTTGGTGTGGAGGAGACTTTTGTGTCATTTCTTTGGGAGTTGTTACTGCATCAGCTCATTATGAGGACATCAGTGTAACACAACCAAACACACAGATCTGTGAGACTTTTCTAGTGGGAGAGTTTGACACATATTTAATGATAATTTGATGTGCAGAAGATTTTACGTTCTTCCAGTTAGCAGCAGGGCATCAGGTTCAGATGATCATGTGATGTCCAAAGTCACTGATAATGACGTTTTTCTTCGTTAAATTTGCAGAACCGCTTTGAAACTCTCAAGCTTTTGCTCTTTTTTTGTTTGTTTTCGTGGTGACACCGCTCATATCTGTTCTATTAGTCGTCAAAGTTCAATGATAATAACTTAATTTTTATACGTTTTGTGACAAATAGTTCATATTAAAAGATTCCGAGACGTTTTATTTTGTGTGACTGTGACACGTTGCTGCATGTGGTCCAGACAAATACCACCAGCTGACTTTATTTAGCTCTTTTATTTAGCTTTTTTTTTCATTTATTTTAGACTTTTTTTGTGCACCTTTGCTGCCAGATTTCCACAGCTTGAATGTGATCCTTTTTACAGTGTGGAAACAGTCCACTGAGTCTTATTCAGATCCACTCATCCATTGAGCTGTTATCATGCAAAAACCAGGATCCTGAGTGAAGCCTGACCCTCGCTGCTGAGAGTTAAAGCCACACATCTGCAGCATCAACACCAAACTACATCTTAGTCGTGATGCACAAACATAAGGGTGTGTGTGTGCGTGTGCATGTGTGTGTGTGTGTGTGTCCTTGCTTTATTGTGTGAACTTTCATTAATACTCATCAACTAATGTGTAAAATGCTCAGATACCTTTGATTTTAGGTTCTCAAGTTAATAAAGTTTTCATGTGAAATCATCAGCACCAAATTCAATAAGACTAGTTTTACATTCTTGTGACGTTCAGCTCTTCTGTGTGAAACAACAAACCCGTCAGCAGTTCGACGTCTCCCTCTGAGCGACTCTCTGCATGTGTTGAAGCTGAGCTCTGCTTCTGCGGCTCCTTCACTAGAGGTCAGTGTGCGTTCAGCTGCAGCAGCAACGCTCCTCTTCACAAACCGGCAGGAGGTTGGACATTATGTAAAAAACTGTGACCGCACACTTGACAAGGCAAAGCAGAGCATGACAACGGCAATTTGTAGAGAGACAGCGGAACAATGTGGGCACGCTGCCACCACGACCCGGCGGGCTTCACAAGAATAATAAGACCACAGCTGCTTTTAGTATCGTCCACTGCAAAAGCAAAAGCAAAAGTCTTATTATTGTACACATATTTTCTTTTAATTGAATGAAAAGAACATCTATTAAGGATTGAAAAATGTTAAATCAATTTAGAATATATGATAATATTGTATAGATTTTCTGTGTTTTGTTGAATTACAGATAATATCTCCATAAATCACAGAAAAAAGAATTAATAGTAATCTTTTTTTTTTTTTAACAATGTGTGACCATAAAGTGACATGCTATTTAATTTAGTTAAAACTACCATTGTTTTACATTTAGTTTCTGTTATTTCAGAGATAAATATGCACATTAAGGATTTTTTTTAAACGGCAAATAGTTTAGGTTGAGTTAGGTTCTTCTACAGAATTGTCCTGTTTTCTTACATTTCAGATCATTTCTAGTAAATCACAAAAAAAGTAATAACGTGTTGATTGTAGGAACAAAATAAAATAAAATTACACACACTGACTGTATTTAAATCAACTGAAAATATCATTAGTTTACAGATATTTTCTCATATTAGATAGAAAAACATATATATGTGTATTAGGGATGAAAAAAAGATAAATTCTGTAAAATAACAGATGACATCTAATAAAAAGGTTTAATTCACATGTTGGCTGTGAAAAAAATAAAAAAGCCAAAACTGTCCACTTAAAAAAATTAGTATGAATAGAAATTAGTTCTGTCACAATGTTTGACCTTAAAATTAGTTTTGCTGTATTCAGAAACATTAAGGAATTATTAATTTATAGATCTTTGATCTTTGCTATTGTTTTTACTTTTTTATTTTATTTTATTTTTTTTACATTTTTTGCTTTTTTTTCTACTTTATAGCATTAAAAGAAAAAAAAAAGAACACATTGTTTTCTAGCAGCCACACTGCCAGGTATTAAATACATATCTATTTCAAATGAGAACAAAAAAACAACACAAGGTTGGATTCTTTTTTTATTTTATTTTTTTAA